ATAGCTGTGTAGCCATAGGCCACTAACTTCATCTTCCTGAATCTTCCTTTCCTCTTCTGTAAAATAAGGATAAGAACAATCTAGATTCTTTATAGGATTACACTGAAAATTAACTAAGACAGTTCATGTAACACTGAGTGTCTGGCACAGAGGAGGAGCTTAATATACCATTATTGTTTGTAGCACTAATAGTTTGATAAGTTTAGTAAGAACGTTAGGCATTTCCCCATATTATCATTAGGTGTCGCCACAGACTTGGCTAAAATAGCAGCACCAGCTTCCTGAGTGTAGAAGCCTAAGTCAGGGACAAAAGGGCCTGGGAGCTGGAGAAATGGAAGACAGAGTAGGCAGGAACCTCTAGAGGTCATGAAAGCAGGTCCCGGATTTGAACTCCCTTGTTCTGCCTCCTTAAGGGTGGCAAACTTAAGGGCCATGGTTGGGAGGGGCCCTCCCCACCAGGCCTCCCACAGCTCATCCAGCCCATGGGATAGCCTGTTTTAGCATTCGTAGTAATAGGTAACTAGGAGAGCCAACTACGTGACAGGCGCTATTCTAAGCACTTCAAAATATGAACTCGTTGAATTCCCAGAAACAACCATATGGGGCAGATTCTAATGCTTTCGTCATTTTACAGATGTGAAAAGCGAGGCACAGGGAGGTTAAGCAACTTGCTCAAGGACACACAGCTAGTAAATGCAGAGTGGGATTAAAACCCTGGTATTCTGGCTGCAATCTGTGCTATTGCAGAGTTTACTTCTTTCGTCACCTTGGTAATAATGTTTCTTATTACGCTTTTAATCTTTTGACATCACATAGCTTCTCTGGTGACTTAACAAATAACTACTGTTCCATGACAGGTTAAATTTCCTGAATCTAAGTCTTGGTAAGGAAAAATTTTCTTTTGTTCCTTTTTCTCCCCAAAGCCCCCCAGTACATAGTTGTATATTCTTCGTTGGGGGTCCTTCTAGTTGTGGCATGTGGGACGTCGCCTCAGCATGGTTTGATGAGCAGTGCCATGTCCGCACCCAGGATTCGAACCAACGAAACACTGGGCCGCCTGCAACGGAGTGCGCGGACTTAACCACTCGGCCAGGGGGTCAGCCCCGGAAATAATGTTGATTTTCGAAAAAAGTAATTGTCAAATGGATGCCAATATAGGAAATAGGTATTGTGGTTTCACAAAACTTGGTTCTGTAAAGAACACAAACTTTTGCTGATTCTTTATCATTTAGCCCCAAGTCTGCCATCTAGTTCTAACTGAATCCCACATACCTGGTTACCAGCTAAATTGGAGGCTTGGAGGGCAAATGAGAAAGGGAGGAGCTTGGCCTGGCCTTTCATTCATTCATTCAGTTGCTCATTCATTCATTCGTCAACAGTCACTGCCTCTTCCTCCCTGCCAGGCCCTGGACTGGGCTCTGAAACCAAGCAATGACCCCAAAAGGAGCCTGGCCCTCCAGGACTCACAGTCTAGGGGAGTTAACAGCCATCGGAAGGGCTTTAACTGCACTGGCATTCCTTAATTGCCCATCTCTCAGACCCGTCTGTAGATGGCAGTGTCTGATCCACTTCTCTATCCTCCATTCCTAGCACAGTGCTTGGCACATTTTAGGTGCTTGATAAATATTGGCGGAATGAATGCAAAGGCTTCAGGGAGGAGGCAGCATTTGATTTTGGACTTTGACAACTGGAGAGGCTCTTGACAGGTGAAGACAGGGGAGAGGGGACCCCCCTGAAGAGGAAGAGTGACAGGGCCACTTTAGAAAGATCATCCTGGCTGCTGTGTGAAGGACGCTGGTTCCGGGTAAGACAGGGCCAGGAGACCAGTGGGGAGGCTGGTGCAGGGTCCAGGGAGAGAGGATGGCAGCCTGGACCAAGGCTTTGGCAGTGAGGACAGAAAGGCCTGAGGGGGATTCAGGAGCGATGAACAAGACTTGGGGAGTGGGGAGCAGGAGAGAGCAAGAGTCGTGAGTGAGTTTGGGCATCTGATGGAGGAAGGCAAGTTCGAGAGGACTTGGCAGGAAGTTGAGGTCTGTTGAGGACAATTTTAGTGCAGAAAGACCTTCTAGGTCCCTCAAGTCAGGGCCCAGCTTTGGCGTCATTACTACCACCTGGAATTGAGCTTGGAGGGCGGAGCAATCTTGTGGGTACAGAGGAAGGGAGCCGGCGGGGGGCAGGAGGCAGCCCCATGTGAGTGAGAAGCCCCGTCTCCCCTTCTCCAGTTTTCTGGGGCCCCGAGGGAGAGAGAGCTGACCACTGAGGGTTGTCAATGCCCAGACCTCGGTGTGATGTTTACTGGAAGGCTGAGTCCCTCCAAACTGGACCTTCTGATTCTTGCTCAGCAGCACACATCACACGCCATGGGTTGGCAGGACCTCTTCCTCTCTTTCATTATATTTTATTTTTCTTAGGGTATGACATACACAAAGTACATAAAGTCCCCTAATCTTAAAGTATAAGCTTGATGAACTTTTGCCTGTGTAATCACCAACCAGATTAAGATACAGACCCTTTCCAGCACCCCAGAAAAGTTCCTCTTGCTCCTTGCCCATCTCTGCTCCCCCTCCAACCCAGGTAAGCACTATTCTGATTTCTAAAACGATAGATTTGCTTTGCCTGCCTTTGAACTTTACATGAATGGAATCATACAATATGTACTGTTTTTGTGTTTGAATTCTTTTAGTCCGCATGCTATACGTGAGATTAGTCCATGGTGTTGTGTAGATCAGTATTTTTTATTTTCACATGTAAAACATAGTATTTCATTGGATGAACAAGCCACAATTTGCTTATCACTTCTCCTGTTGATGGACATCAGACTATTTCCAGTTGAGGCTATGAATAAATCTGCCATGAAAATTCTTGCACGAGTCTTTTGCAGACATAGGCTCTCATTTCTCTCGGAATGAACACCGCAGAGTGAAAATTCAGGGTCATAGCATGGGTGTATGTTTAGATTTAGTAGATACTGCCAGTTTTCCAAAGTGGTTGTACCAATTTCCTCTCGCAACCAGCAGTGTGCAAGAATTTCATTTGCTCCACATCCTGGCCAACACTTAGCCCCTTCTTACTCTAAACAAGACTTCCCACTATGAGACTTCTCTTTTCCTCCAGTGTTGGATATTGGGTGTACCTGGCATGGGTGCAATGATCCCTCAGCCCATAAGCAGCAAGAGAGTGAGAGGCCACATCCAGTTTGTTTGAGTCTCAGCTAGAGGAGGAATGGACATCTCCTTGACATGGACGGGACCCCAGGAACTGGGGTGGCCATCTTATGACCATGAGCATGAATTCAATGTGAGAATGGCAGAGCAGAGATGGAATGAACCTGAGAGACAGAATGTCCTTGATAACATTGCCAAGCCACTCAATTAACCCGCCATTGATGGCAGCCTCCTTATTTTTTTAAGCCAATGGATTTAAGGATCTTTTTAGGAACTTGCAACATAAAGGATACAGTCCATAAGCCTCCTTGTAACCAAACCCACTGGTGCCATTTCTGTCCTCCACAGCAGTCAGCCCCCTGAGCACTCTCTCCTTGAAACCTTCTCTCTGGGATCCCATGCTCACCTGGTCCTCCTCCTACTCCACTGGTCACTGCTTCTCAGCCTCCTTTGTTGGGTCCTCCTCCTCCTCTGCCTACCTTTTTAAATCTCCTCCTCTCCCCTGGGATGTCATCCAGCACCATGATGTAGCACCTGTGTGCTGATGTTCCCCAAATATGTAGCTCCAGCCTAGACCTCTTTTTTGAGCTCTCATCTCGTATAAAACTGCCTATTGACCCTCTCCACCTAGAGGTTGCCCAGGCATTTCAAACTTTGGCTTCTCAAAGCCAAACTCTTGATCTTCTCCCTCAATCTGATCCTTCTGTAGGCTTCACCACCTTAGTCAAGGGTTCTTTCACTACTTCATACTCAAGGCAAAACCCTAAGTGTTATTGCCAAGGCCTCTGCACGCACCCACACCCAATATTACATCCCTTATTTCACCGCCCCAAGCCACCACCCTGCTTGAGTCACCATCTCTTTTCACCTGGAAAGCTGCAACAACCTTCTAATGCCTCTCCCCACACCCACTCCCAAGTGTCTTCCAAGCCATGCAGCCAGGCTGATCTTTCAGCAACCCAAACTTGGAATCACTCCCCTGGTGGAAACACCTTATTACTCTCAAAATAAAACCCAGAATCCTTAGGTAGTGCTACCTGCTTGCTCACCTCTCACCCTCACCCTGCTCGTTCCCACCTCCACACCTGGGACAAGTAGTTCTTTCTGACTCGAACATTTCCTCTCTCACCCCTGCCTCACACAATTCCTTAGTTTCTCAGCCTAACTGCCAGGTTCCCAAGGAGGGTCCACCTTCACCTCTCACCCTACATTCGACTCTATTAATTTTTCATAATACTCTTTACTTTGCCCCACAGCACCTCCCATGATGCATAATTACATATTGACTTGATTAAAATTATTAATATGTAGTGATAATTTGATGACTGTCTTTTCTCTCCTCCCCCACTCTCCCCCACTAGACTGGCAGCGCGTCGAGGTTAGATCAGTGTCTGTCACCCTCCACTCTACCCTCTCGCTTTTAGTACTGCACTTACACACAGAAAGGGCTCTAGAAACGTGCTTAACTAACTAATAAATGAATACACTGCCTCCTTCAATCCCCGTAACAACCCTGCGAAGGAGGCATTTCATCAGACACGAGGAAGCTGAGTCGGGGTGGGCAGGAGGAGGAGTCAGGTCCCGACTCGAGTCAGGTTCTAAGTGCTGAACCCGGATCTTTACGCTCCTGAGCTTTAGCCCCTTGGGGAAAGGGCCAGGGAGGAGGCGGACTTTGAGCCACGAAGTTTTCCCGGAGTACACGGGTCATCCACGCGGACCACACGAGACCAGAGCTTACCTATAAGGACTGAGGTACGCCCCCTGGGCGCTCAGGGAGTAAAGATCACAATCTGCTGCATATGCATGAGGGGACCATGGGCCCTTGATGTGGGACTGCCCAGGCTGCGCCTGATAAAAAAATTCTTCGGACTTGAAGACTTCGGAGCCCCCAGAGTTCTGCACACATACGCATAAAGTCTTCAAAGGGTCATCTGGCACGGATATTGAAGGGACGTTGGAGGAGAGATACTCCAATTTGGGTCATATGATCAGGCTTCTGCCTTAGGCAGCCCAATCCCAGGAGGGGTCCTCGGCCGGCTCGACTAGAAGACGAAGGGGGCGTCACCCCGGCTTCCTGCGGCGTCGGTGGCGAGCTGAGGTGGAGGCAGGCTGCGGCAGCGAGGGCGACAGTGGCGGCGGCGCCATGGCAGGGCTCGCAGGTACCGTGGCAACGGCCTCCTGGGGCGGGATGAGAGGCCCTCAATGCGGCCACGCCGCCATGTTGTCCCTTTGGGGTCACCTTAGGCGTCGCCCGGTCCTTCTCTGGGGTTTTCCTTCCGCGCACCCTGGGCGCCAGCCCTGTCCGGTGTCACGTGATTGCCCTATTTGGCCCCAGCCTGGGCCTAGGGGGTCCCTTCCCGCCCCGAGGGCGGGTCACTGGACTGCTGGGTTCTGGTTCTGGCCTCCAAGGTCAGCGCTCGCCTGTCTGCTCCTGGGATGGGGTAGGCAGAGCCGGGGAGCGCGTGACTGGGGGGCGCGCCCACCCCACTGCGGCCCCGGGGACCCTGGCAGGGGGCCTAGCTTCTGAGAGGCCTGTCACTCTGTTTCCTCCACTTGAGTTGCACTAAATCAGAAGGGGCATGCGGGAGAGGGGAGACAAGGGTGTCCCGCCCCGGGCCCCGCTTTGGTGTCTGGGCTGATAGGTTGACGCTGTGCTCTGGGGCGCGGGTGCTTTTTAGTCTTGCTAACTTTACATCAAGTCTGGATACCCATTGCCTTTCCTCCAGTATACATGGGGAGTGGCCCTCAAGGGCAGCTGAAGGAACGGAATGCCTGGCACACTAATGGCCTGGAAAGAAGTATGGGGGATGGGAGACAGTTGCTTTTCCCTCCCTCCTTCCAAACCTTCTTTAATTTCCTTCCAGGCCTCCGTGTCCCTTTTCAACGCTAAATGTTGGGACAGACTGGGGTCTGTCCTAGGAAAGAAATGGTCTTTCTGTTTATAGGTCTGGATTGTGTTTTATCCCTTTCAGGGAACTGGTGTGTTGGGGACAGCTTCTGTTTGCCCTGCCTGACATGGTTCAACCATCCTCTCAGCCTTCTGGACGGCAACACCAAAGCCAGGACCAAAAAAAAAAAAAAAACGTTCCAAGCTTAAGTGCTAATGCCAGGTGTTAGATCTTGTTTATTTGTTTTAAATCAGAGACTAATTAATGTCAAGCAAATCTGTTAAAAGAATCCGAGCCCTGGTCAGTTTCCAGTGACCAGATCAATTCCATCTCTTAAATTGGTCTTGTTAGAATTGTTGCCAAAACAGTTTAACCTTTTATCTGTAATATGTTGTTTCAAAGAGGAATCTGGAAGTCTGGGTTTGGCTGTCTTTTTTTGTTGTTGATCTCTTATCTTTGCAACATATGCATTCGATTTCAAGCCTGTCACTGTGTGATGTACCAAGGACCATGTGTTGCCTGCCTCTCTGACTTCCTGTTTTACGAATGCTCAGGAATCTGGATCCTGCTGGGATATGGGCCCTGTGGGAGGGAAACGGGGAGGAGCGGGGGGGGGGGGGGGGGGAGGTGAACAGGATCATTCCCAGAAAAGATGGTGACATGTCTCTGGGGCATATAGAGGAAGTCAGAGGTCACCAGGGAAAATGAGACTGTTAGACTAATGTTTTGTGTGTCTGTGTGCAGACGTTTAAATCTCTGGGGGTAAAACTAACTGCAAATTCAGAGTCTCACTTTAGGGTGCCAGCTCCTGAGTAGATACAAGCTTGAAAATAGATATCTAGCAAATGGCTCACAGCAAACCAACTCTCTTCCAAACCACGTGTAATAGGCTGTTGCTGTCCTGCACCTGAAGCTCAAGAAACTTGTCCTTCTGCCCCTTCCTTCAATCACAATCCAAATACTCCACAGATAGAGGTAACAGTGTCACATAGCACCCCACACCTCTGAAAGTCATGGTATCTACACCCCCTGGGGACTTAACTTCAACTGATTAGGCTAGGAAACTAACATCCCTCATGGGGCATTAGTCCCAAGGGTGTCACCTGTTGCTGGAATCCCACAAAGCCATTCCCATCCCCTCACAATCATCAGTTCTATCCTTGGCCTTGTGGGGGCAAAGTTCTGTGGGGGTGGTAAAGACAGTTTAGGGAAAGGGGAGGCCTGTGGACATTTCACCCTGTAGACTAAGGTCTTTGCAATAAAACTCGCCATTTTCAGTTCCTCCCAGAATAAAATGTTTTGATGGTATTGCTTCTGGAAAAAATTTTATAACCAAGATGTGTTTGGACCGGACTTTTAGGCATCACACAGGAATAGAAAGTGAACACATTCCTTCTGTATTCTCTTGTGGGTTGTGTTTGCTGCCAGAACATGGGGACGAAAGGGAGGAGTGGACATTGCACATTCACGCCCACCCAAGCAGGTGCAGGCCACCAGCACAGCCCTTGCCTGGAAGTCCGTCATCACCGTGCCGTGCTCAGAGCCCTGCTGATGGATGGATGGAGGAAACCCCACAGATGGGCTTTGCCAAGATCTTTTGGAAAGACCTTGGGCTGCCAGCAGCCGCCTGCCTTTTAAAGGGGGCACAAGAGGCTAAGAGGGGCCTACTGTGTCCAGAGTAGCCAGACCCTTTCATGCTGCTTTGGCTTGTCTCCCTGAACCCAGCTGCCTTGTAACTGGGTTGAGGTTAGAGCATCTGGGGTGGTGGGACTGTGGGCACACCCTTCGAAGGCTCTGAGGGGGAGGGGCAGCCTTCATTGAGAACACGTCGAAATATGTTCATGGTTCTGTGGGTTTAGTATAGAAAACCACAGATACTCCCAGTCTTGAGGCCTGCCAAGATAGGGGCTTCAGAAGGGAGGTGTGGGCATTGCCTGCTGATGAGTTAGCCTGGGGCAGGAGGAGAGCTGCCTTACCTTCAGGCTGTGATAGGAGCTGGGGGGACCCAACCCAAGGAAGATGGAGTCTTGGATTGCACATCCCCACCCCAGTCCCAGTGAGTCCTGATTGCCATTTTGATGGCAGAATATTTCTAGTATGTTGGGGTTTACTGGATCTTAGCAGCCCTTTTACAGAGGGGAACTGAAAGTGATGGGTAGGAGGTGACCTGGCCAGGTTCCCTGGGCTGTTTGATGCCATAGCCAATACCGGAACTGAGGTCTGCACCCTCCATCCCCATGATTCTCTGCTAAACTGAAGTTATAGGTGCCTCTAGGGGTGCTGGTGGTTGGGCTAAGAAATGTAAGGGGCTTGCTTAGGGGAGGGAAACATCATCAGGCTCAAGGGGCAAGGTGCTTTGTGCTCCGGAACTGTTTGTGACAGCCGTGACTAAGGGATTTGAGGAAGTGGCAGAAAGAGAGATTTATGGCCCTCCAGCTCCCCTTGGTGTTGACCCAGGAACAGGTGTGTAGTGACAGGGACACATAAAGCCAGAGACAAGGCTAAACAGGCGGCAGAGCCATTTGGTGAGGCAGTCAGCTGACTCCACGTAAAAGGAGCCCTGACTCACTGAGGAGTGGGAGAGGGGAGAGAAGTCGGGAGCCGAGCAGCCAGCCCACCCGCCCACCCTGACATGGCAGGGGAGAGCCCAGGGTCAGGGACCTGGTAAGCACCCCTAAGAATATGGAGGCTAATGCTGAGAAGAGAAGAGAATCTGATCCTGGGGAGAGTGAGCTGGACACAGGTTCCTGAGGGTGGGGGAGGAGACCCTGGAGAGTAGCAAGGCCAGGCAGGATGCCTTTGTAGGCCTCATGGTAGAGGTTGTAGGGCCTGGAGGTATGAGCCGGGTCGGGGAGGCACCACACACCTCTTATCCCATACTCATTGTCCAAGGCAGTGCCCACCCTGCCCAGTGCTCATTTCCTGGGGGCTCCTGGATAGAGATAAGACTGTTCTGAAGTCCTGATCAGCCCCTGGGTCCCTAGTATCCCATTTTGAGGGCTACTCCCACCTTTTCCAGTGATTACCTGCCAAGGCTCCTTATCCCAGTACTAGTGAAGGCACCCACTCCCTCCTGGGGGGAAAGTGGTCCCTTCTTCCCAGAGCACAAGTGAAGCTGTGAGCCTTTCTCTTTGAGGAGGGAGAAGTGGTCCTTTATCTCAGGACAGTGTTGAGATGGAAGTGGGTTTGTGAGGGTCCCAGTCTATTCCTATTTTATTGCCTCCCCTCCTCTCGCTAGTGTTGTGCCCACTCCACAACGGGCACGTCAGCCCAGTCTCAGAAGTATGTGTCGAAGCCGCAAGAGAAATCACAAGAGACAACTTTTTGGTGCGCCTCCACTGCCCCGCAGGGTCCTGGGACACTGTGCGAGACAGGGGAGGTACTGGTTTTTTATTTTTTGTAGAGGTGGTCCCTGTCCTCCAGGAGCTTACAATCTAGCTGGGGAGACACAACTAATGCACACTTATACAATCAGTACAATTAGCGATTACCACAACATTGACCACAATTGCGTGAGACCAGGGAAAAGCAAGATCAGTGAGGGGCTGGGGGCTCGGAGAAGGTGTTTTAGTAAAGATGGGGTTTGTTTACTGGTTGTATAGGTCCAAATTGAGTGATCCATTTCTTTTGGGTGGGGCGGGCTTGGGAGGCAGTGAGAGGGAGGGGGAATTGAGGGAGCAAAGGCAGCAAGGCTGGAATGCACGTGCTGTAGGCAAGGGACAGTGAGAGGGCCCACTCTGTTTCTTCACCCGCCTCCTCCCTCACCCTCGCCCTCCAGTCCCGCCACACTGGCACGCAGTTGGCGCCTTGTCTGCTGCACCGAGATTCAGGGCTTCGGCTGGTGGTGCTGGAGTGTCCATTCTGCTGGCTGGTGTGGTTGTCTGGATCTCTGTGGTGTGGGGCCTGCTGGCGTGGCCGTGGTTTCCGGGCTGGGATGTTGCTGTCCCAACTTGGTCCAGATAAGAATGCACTGCCTATGCCCAGATCTCAGGGGTCTGCTCCCCCAAACCCCCCTCCTCCCTCTACCCCGCCTGGCAGTGGGACGGGTGCAGAGGGGTTTGGAAAGGTTCTGGTATTGTCATCATTGTCGGTGCTGCTTCTCCGGGGGCCTACCGGCCCCTCACTGACCTTGGCAAGTGCTCCTATGGCGAGGGAGCACAGGGGACCCCCCGTTCCTGCGCGGCACTGGCTCCCATGCTGGTCGAGATGCACAGGAGCACCTGGTGACACGGCCGCCCAGGGCTGGGGGCTGGGGCCTCAGTTGGGGGCTCGCTGCCGGCGCTCTCCCAGCACCTGCCGCCCGGTCCTCGACACGGTGTATGCCAGCTTCTGCAGGGAGTACCTGAACACCTGCGGTGAGAGACCCAGGACCTGCCCTTAGAGGCGAGCCCCCGCAGCGTGTCTGCAGCGCTGCGGTGCCCGCCCCCGCCCCACCCCCTGCCCCGCCCGCCTGTCCGACCAGGAGAGGCGGGCGCGGGCGCAGCTTGTCCACGAGTCAGGGCAGCTGGAGCTTTTCCAACTGTGCTGAAGGCTGCATGGCTGCAAGCTGATTGGACCCACAACTTAGGTATACCTCACTTCTCGCAATGGGCTGTGTCCCTGGAGGATTTCGAAAAGCGAATCCTACCCAGTAAATGCAGCATTCCAGGAACACCTTGAAGGAAATATGCAATTCCTTTGGCAAAGGATTCCTTTAAGAGAATTCTTCCTGCAAGGGGTGCTTTTAGGGTAAACGATTTTGTGGACACAGCGCTTTCTTCTGTTTTATTTCTTTTTACACGAAGCGCTTTGCCTCTATTTGATTTTTTTTTAAATAAAGTGAATTGTCCTTTTTTGGAAGTGCTTTTTTCTCTTCCATTTTTCCTGCAAAGAGCCTTTTCCTCTAATTGTTTTCTTCAAAGCGCTTTTATCCGATTCATTTATCTCTTAGCTCCTTTGTCTAATTTTTTTCTGCAATGCGCTTTTTATCTAATGCATTTTTTTCTGCCAAGTGCTTTTGTCTGTTTTATTTTTCCTGCAATGCGCATTTGCTCTAATTCATTTTTTCCCGCGAATTACTTTTTGTCTAATTAGTTGTGGGGTTTCTTTTTTTGCAAAGTGTTTTTTATTTTTTCTCAGAAGTCCCTTTTTCTAACTTATTTTTCGTCGTCCCCCCAAATTTGTGTGTTTTAGGAAAATTTCCCCGCAATGCGCAGTTTTCTAAGGCGGAAAATTTTCGCTGTGCAAGATGTAAAGTCTCTTTTCGCAAAACAGAAGTGCCCCGCCCCCCTCCTAGGATCGAGTCTGAGTGTAGCGGGTTTTTCTTACCGCGTTGGTCGCTAAGAGTCTCGATGATTGTTCGCGGCTGGCGCCTGCCGCGCCCCAACTCTTTGTTCCCGGCCGGGCGCGGGCGCACTGGGAAGGGTCTGCGCGAGGAGGAGGGCGCAGGGGACGGGCAGAGGCGCGCGGTGCCGGCCGCGGCACTCGGGCAGGCAGGGATGCGGCAATCGGGACAGGAAGGGTCCGGGAAGCGGCAACTGCGACGCGGACTTGCCGGCTCAAGGGGCATGCATTGGGACCCCGCTCCCACCCGGAGCCCAGGCACACTTACCTGCAGCAGCACGCGGAAAATGTACCAGCCGATGATGAGCAGTTCAGCGGAGGCCGCCGCCACTGCCGCCATGGTTCCGGGAGTGGTAGGTGGGTGGTTGAGTGCGAGCGCTGCCAGAGGCCGCCGGTGTGCCGAGGTCCGCTGGTCTCTCGGAGTCCGCTCTTGGGCGCACTGCCGCAGCAGCGGTGGCCGCGCCTTAAGTATCCGCCCGCCACCCAAGTGCGCATGTGCGCTTGGGGGGGGGGGGTGGTCCGTGAGGAGGGGTGGCCGGGGGGTGGGGGCGCTCCTCATTCGCCAGGAGAGGAAAAAATAATCCATCTGCTCTTTCCACACCGACCCCCGCCTCCTGAGTTCCATCTTAGCCCCTTTCCAGAAGATTCCGCCGTGCCGGCTTTTGAATTTCAGTGTAAAATGGAGGGGAACTGCAACTTTGAATAGCGCATAGGGCGAGGGTAGGGGTTGTGCGCCTCGTGGTGCGGAACCCCTCTCTCCAAACCCTGGCCTGCAAATTTGAGCCTAGTGTCCAGTGTCGCGCCGGAACCCACCTTGGGCACGACGGAAAACCTGATTTAGAGAGGGATCCTCTGCCCCGCAGAGCGAATAAAGGTGCCCCTTCCAGGAGCCTTGGCTTCATAAGCCTATGGTCAGCATTCCTTTTCTAATGTTCAGTGTGTTGTAGCTCAGGTCCTCTGCTTCACCCGAGTCTCTGAGCGCGTAACCTTTCCCGGATTCCTCGCATCCCGCCTCTTAACGGTTGCTAGATGAGGATCTCCGCCGGTGGCGATTGTACGGAGCTGAGGCAGGGTACTGAGCGCTAGGCGCAAAAGCGGTAGTAGCCGGTATCTACCCTGTGGGAGGGATGCGGGCGTGCCGGATTGGCGCCTTTGTATGCACGGAAGGGATGGGATGAGCTTTCCCGAGAAGTGGTTGGAATGCGCTCTGGGGTAGTTGCTGGACGGGTCATTTGAACCTCTCTTTTCTGCTCCCCTCACCCCAGGCCCTAGTAGGTCTTCAGCCAGCCAGGTTCTTTGTAGCCCTTGCGCTGGGTAGCTGGAGCTTGGAGCAGGGTTTTGCTACGGCCACAAGAGGGTTGTGGCTGCCGCAGCTCCGTTTCCAGGCGCGGCGGGAACACGGGAACATGGTTTGGGAGCGCAGCCTTGGTGCGCCGATGGCCCGCCGCTCAAGATCATCTCTTTCCAGCAAGCTGCCTGGCACAGGGGCCAACTGGCATTTGCCCCTATGTGGATAGAAAATTAATTTTGGTTAAAAGCTCATAGAGGTCAGGTTCTCTACAGTGCCAGCAGCAGATGGAGAGTGTAAGTGATCCAGGCGAGGTCAGTTTGGACGAAGTACTATGGTGATTTTTTTTCTACGTTGACTTTCGAAGAAGTGGCTGGTTTTGGCAAATGATACCGGACTATTTGAAAAAGGCAAGCTCATCCCAGGCTGCCATGTTAAAACCAACTATTTGGGGTGCCGCCACTGCAGCTTCCCAGAGCTTGCAAGGATCCATTGCCTGCGATCTCCAGCAGGCAGCGCACCACTAACTGCTTTAATTCTCCACTGAGCACCTGCTATGAGAGCTACTAGATAGAGAACCCTGTCCTTATTCCGTGGTGGCACAGCACGGAGCCCATGCCTGTCCGGTGGAACCACAGGGCGGTATTGTGAGGTCTGGGCCCCTTGAGGACGGGCCGCAGCCCCAGGAGGCGATACATGATCTCTGCTGGGCAGGGCCCAGACAAAGCCAGTCCACTGTGCCGGACCTGCTGGAAGAGCCCTCTCCAGGTCCCCGGGAAGCCCAGGGGAGATACCCCAGGAGGCTTCCCGAAATGGTGACTTGGAGAGGAGTAGTCTTCCCTGGGTGGGCAGGGAGGAAAGGGCATTCACATTTGCTGTTGTTAACCATGATCCATTTTCCCAAATAAGTATACATTCTGTTCCTGTTTTTTTTTTTTTGTCTGTCTGTCTGTCTGTTTTTTGTCTGTCTGTTGTGTTGACTTTTCTCTTCAGGATCCCTGCTGCCTTGGTGATCCCGGGCTGACAGCCAGAGAGCACAGCGGCTCAGCTCCTGGAGAGTGAGGGTTGAAGAAAGTGGAGGGCAGCCGCCCGCGCCCGCTGGCTCCCATTAGGTCGGTTCCTGCAGCGGTGCCCGGCGGCCTTGGCGAAGGCCCTGCCCGGCAGAGATCATGTATTGCCTCCAGTGGCTGCTGCCCGTCCTCCTCATCCCCAAGCCCCTCAACCCCGCCCTGTGGTTCAGCCACTCCATGTTCATGGGCTTCTACCTGCTCAGCTTCCTCCTGGAGCGGAAGCCTTGCACAATTTGTGCCTTGGTTTTCCTGGCAGCCCTGTTCCTCATCTGCTACAGCTGCTGGGGAAACTGTTTCCTGTACCACTGCTCTGATTCCCCGCTTCCGGAATCAGCGCACGACCCCGGTGTTGTGGGCACCTAACAGCCTGCCCAGTTAGCTTTCCAAGGAAGCAGAAGACGGGAGGGGAGGCATTGACATAGGTCATAAAGCATTGGAGTTTCAAATCCCGCAGCCCCGCGGGTGCCACATTCCTGACGGCGCCTTTTTGGCCTGTGATGTTTTATCCTTATAATGTGAATAATGGCACTGATCGGTGCTTTTATTGTAGAGTCTTGTAGTCGTGGGTGGTCTTGTGGTTGTGTCTGTTCTGTCCCCATCTCGGTCCCCGGCTGTCAGGATGGCCACCCCCCTCGTCTCATTCCTGCGAGGAGTCTCTGCCCATCCTGGTCAACCGCCTGGGTATGACGTAGGCAGATAAAACGCCAGTCTCATTGTCACCTCTGTGACCCGTCTTTGACAGGGTCTCCTCCCTTCCCAGAATGTTACTGTCTCCCTAGTCCCTCTCCTGGTTTCCCTTTAGTTCTCTTCTACCCCTTTCCTTTTTTGGGGAGCACCTGTCCAGGACAGGGCTCATTTTTGCACTTATCTCAAATTTAAAGAGATTGCTGACGCCCGAGAGCCTCGCTTTTTCATTGTCCTTTCCCTGGTCAGCAGGCTAGACAGAAACATGTCTTGACTGTTTGTTGTCCACAAATCTCCAGTATTTTTGCCACTTCACTTTTAAGAAAGAGGTAACAGATGCGTGTTGCTCTTTCACCTGGGTGTCTGGGCTCATGCTTAGCAGCCGGGCCTCGCTTCCTTTGCCCCTCCTGCTGCCTTCCTCCGCTGTCCCGAGGAGGGGCCTCAGTGTGCCTCCCGCGCGCTCTGCAGGATTGAGGTGTGGTGTGTTCACGTTGACCTAGCAGTCCCCAGCCGAGTGAGTGGGAGAGCACTTTGTGTTTCATAACAGCTATGATCCCCTTGATAGGCGTTTGGATATTTTTGGTGTGCTGTGCGTGTGTGTACGTGTACAAATGTGTGTATTCCTTTTAAAGAAGCTTTATGGAACGTGTTCTGATTTTGAGGTTTAGCAATAGCTAGCTATAGTAGGTACCGCTGCAGTTTTTATTTAGCATGGGGATTACAGAGTGACCAGCACACTGGACTCCGAGGTGGTTCAGACAAGACAGAGGGGAGCAGTGGCCGTCTTCGTCGTGCCAGGAGCTTCTTCAGTCCTGCGCGTATAGACTGTACGTTGTGAAGAATACACAGGAAGACTTTGTGACTGTCGCTTGCTGTTTTCTTTTTCTGCGCTTCAGTAACAAGTGTTGGCAAACGAGACTCTCCTGCCCTGCCCACTGGGGATCAGCATGGTTATCCTTCCAGTCTAAACCATCCATCTTTCTCTTGCCTGAGGTGGGGAGGGAGGTGGGCCGGCAGAGGACAGAACTGGAGGCAGTGAATGGGAACGCAAGGCCACACTTGTGGAACATTTGGACTGCTATTCTGGAGCTTTGATTTCTGGTGTGTTCGTTGCACAGCTGTTTGAAATGTTTAATAAAGCTTTATAAACTTTACTTTGTGGTTTTATGTGGCTGCAGTCCATTTGGGTCGTGGTATTGGGTTTCTGAGTTGGTGGGGGACAGGGGCTGGTACAGAGGGGCTGAGTCCTTGGCGCCAGAGTACCTTAGCCTGAAAATTTGATCTGCTCTCTGGAGAGCAGATGGTGGGGTTGGTGGAGGGGGAGCAGGGGCAGGCCAGGCGGTGAGCAGGAGGGAGTCTGAAAGTCTTCAGAGATGAGACATTCGCCTCTCTCAGCTCCCATGGCTTCTTGCCTGACACTGTTTCCCTCCATAGGAGATTTGAGTAACCGATCCCTTGACAAACAACTTAAGACAGCTGGAACTCTAATCATCAAGGATTTTTACAGTGCTGCTTTTGAAGTAAAAATAAAGTGAAACCCCTTATGGCATTTCAAGTGGAAAAAGAAATAAAGTTGGCTGTCCAAGCTGGGGACTCAAGCGGGTAGCTGGAAGCGTGAGAGGGGTGGAGTTCCATGTCATTGATGCACACGTGCTCCCTTGGCTCTGACATTTGCGGCAAAGCCGGGTAGCTTGCCAGGACCCTGTGCTGGGTGTCCACCTCTACATCTCTCCGAGAGAGCATCCCAGGAGCAGTGTGTCTCCAAGGCACAGGGCTGTTGTGAGGGTTTATTGAGATTGTTTATTGAGTTGGGAAAGGGGTCTGGTAATTTCATACGAGTTTATCTGTTTTACGTAGATTTTTAATTTATTGCTGTAAACCTCCCCATCATCAGTTTACCCCTTTTTCATTCTTAGCGTTGCTTATCGGTGCTTTCTCTTTTTTCGGTCAAAACTTGCCAAAGGTTTGTCCATTTTAAGGGTATTTTCAAAGAGCCAAACTTTTATTGATTTGTATCTGCTGAGTATTTTTCCTGATTCTTTCGTGCTTATATTTCTGAATTCTTCTTTTCCGGGTTTCTGGATGTATTTGGTGGTTCAGCAAAGTCTTGATAAGCTGAGGAGTCATACACGTGGAAAGGATGGTTTGTTCAGCAAACACTGAGCCCCTATACTAGGCTTGCTGGGGATTTCAGGGGCAAGACCCAGGCCTGACTCTCCAGGAGTGCATGATTCTAGCATAGTGGGAAGACTTAAGAAAATAGACAATTGCAGATTCCAAAAACAAAACAAACAAACAAAAAAGGCTTTTGTGGCCTCCCTCTCCTGTGGAGGCACCTGGATGATAAGTGAAGCCAAGATTGTTGCTTATTTTGCTCTCCCTCAGAAAGCAGCTTTGTGTCTTAGGTCAAGGCCCCTGAAGAGTCACAAACAGGCCTCCTGCTGAAAGATCTGTGGCCCTTTCCAGCAGGGAGCCTGCAGCCCATCCCCTCCTAAGGCGACTGCTAGATCAGCATTCTGTCTTCCCAACAGTGCTTTCCACCTTGCCAAGACAGCATGGGCAGCACCCTGCCCTTGTTCCTGAAATGCCTTTCAGGAAAGTGGAAAGTAGATACCTCTTCTGGAAAAAGGCAGGGGCACCAGGCCTTAGAGACCACACTCTGCAGTTCTGCGGTCGCTGTGGCTCCTAGTTCGAAATGGTTGGTTGCTCACATGGTACCTGGTAATCACAAGACCTCATGAGGCCTAGGTCTATGCCTTGCTTTGGGCCTCAGTTTCCTTGTAGGTAAAAGGTGGTCTTTAGAGCGAACACAGTCTTACCAGCCCTGATATACTGGAAATCCTTTCTCCTAGGATCTTAAGGTCCTACTGGATGCACTTTGAGGAAGGCGAGTGAGCTCTGGGAAGGTGGTAGTGCCTTTGCAGGATAGTCTGCATGTGCTTTCTGCATTAGTCAGTGTACCATGTAAGCCCTCATACACCTCTGTCAGTCAGGAAGCCTTCCCAGACTTCTTCCCTCTCCCTGGGGCTGCTTGCCTACAGCACTTCTCAGCCCTCTGTTGAGTGCTGGTGCTAGTGTTTGGCAGACTTCCTCTTCCGTAGTGACTGAACTCCTCCCACCTCCAAGGGGGCCAGCATTATTAGTCTATCAGTGGGTACTTGTCACCATCTCATGTAGAACTAGGCCTTGGGACCAAATGGTGGGCAAGGTGGGCAGTCCCTGCCATCAGGGAGTCATCAGGCTAATGGGAAAGGGGATGACATTGGGCAGGTAATCCCACAGATAGATATTTAACTATGAATTGTGGCAGGTGCTATAAGAGAGAGTCTAAGAGCGGAGCTGATGTAAGCAGGGGAAGATTGATGTTCAGGCGGAGACCTGAGGACAAGTGTAAATGAGCAGTGAAATAATAAATGAGATATTATTTCTCACCATTTAATCAAGCATCTCTGTGCTTACAGATAAAGAGTCTGGGCTGAAAGTAAAATGAAGGACCACCAGTATCTGGCTGCCCTAGAATCAGAACCTAAAAAGGCTTTTTGGGGTAGGAGTCAGTCTATTTAAAGCCAGAGGACTGTATTGGGAGAGACAATTGGGAGATACTGAGGGGGTCTAAGGCTGGCATTCTGGTGGCAGGCTCCTGAGAACTCTTCAGTTTCCAACTGACTGGAACCATCACAAAACAAGGATATGACAGGAATAGGGGGTAACCCAATCATAATAGCATTTAAGGTGGGTTCTTTCAGTAGGGAACAGGATAGCCTGTGAGCAGTGAATGCAGCAGGGCTGTCGAGAAGGCCATTGCCCTGACTAGATCATCGGGAATGGAGAGAAGTGGCTGTAAGGAGCCATGGTGGGTGGGCGGGGGGAAAACAGGAGAAAGGGTAGGCTGAGGAGAAAGGAGGACAGAGAAAGATGATAGAAGGAAAGTTGACCCCCATTGAATAGCTGCGGGAGAGGAGGCCAGAGGAGAATTGTCACCTGTATCGAGTCGGCTGGCACCCAAGGCAGAGTTCACCCCATTACCCCCCATCGTAGGTGGAAGGGTCGCTGCTCTGAAAAGGGGAGAACTAAGAAGTGCTCTCCTCAGCAAGAGACAGAAGGTGATCTTAAGAGCAGCTTGTCCGGCATCAGCCCAGGACCCCTCTCTCCCCAGTGTCTTCCTGAAAGACCTGAGAGGGGCAGGCTGTGGTCTGGCAGGTTTCAAGGGGGAATCTGTATCTTGAGAACAACTTCGATTATAGGGTGGGCTCAAGGGAGAGGAGGGCAGCTGGCTCAGCAGCAGCTGAAGCCTTCAAACAGAAACCCTCCGTCTCCCTCTGGGGATGGGGAAAGGGCCTCAAACAGTGGGTGGAGGTAGACTTAGAGAACAGTTTAGGACCGAGGAACGTTGAGAGGTAAAGCTTCAGGGAGCCTCAGGCCTTATGCCCCCACCTTTGTGACTCTGCCTCCCTCAGCCTCAGTTTCCCCACCTGTAAAATGGAGATCATAACATCCACCATCGCCTGTCTCAAGGCGAAGTCTTCACAAATGTTATTTCTTTTCTTCTGTGGCCCCACATTGCTGACCCCTATTGGGCCCAAGGCTCTTGGGGATGCAATCTGATCATCCAACTCTCCCGCTCGTTCATTCGTGCAAGGAGCATTTGCCCGGCCCTGTGTCAAGCTCTGAGCACCTGATGCAGAATAAGACCATGCCCTCCTTGAGAGCTCAGCTCAGCGGGAGGGAGGACACTGAGGCAGTCCTGTAGGCAGATAGTTACAATGCCATGGTGTCAGGACTGTCGTGGAAGTAAGGAGAGCGATCATTTGGGAGCCTATGTGTCGGCCCCTCAGCTTGACTGCCCTTAATTATTTTTTACAAGCCCCAAAATGACAACATCCTAAAAGGGAGAGTAACACTAAGGCATAGCTCTTTCCTGAGAGGCCAAAATCCTGGCTTTGAGTCCCTGCTTGGCCAGCAGCTTGCCCAGGACCCTCCCTGGATTTTACTCTCTTAGAGAGAAATCCCCGCCTGTGCAGCCTCCTGTCGTGAGGAACCAGTGCAGGGTATGATAAGAATGCTTTGTCAGACATGGGTTGGACAGGACCCTTCTCCAAAGACTGATCCTTTCAGTGGGTCTGGGCTCTCACCTCTTCCCGAGCAGCTTGTGGAGAGGCTGCCCTTGGATCGCACACCTCTTCTGAAGCTAACCCCTCTGCCAAGTCCCTGCCCCACCCTTCTATGGCAGCCCCTCAGCGGGCGGGCAGGGAGCTGAGGCCCTGGACCTGATCCCCACCCCCTTCACACATGACCTTGCCCTCCTCTCTTCCCTCTTCTCTGGGCCTCTGTTTTCCCATCTGTATGCCAAGGAGTATTGGCCAAAAGTTTGTTAAAACAAGCTGTGTTTAATGAAAGGATCTTTTGTATTAAAGAGTAAACTTTAAATCTCTTGGGTGCAGAACTGTCAACAATACTAGGTTAGAGTCAAGGCAAAATTGGAAGGGTCTGTGAGGAAGACAAACATAGCCCTTCAGTGGATCCCTCTTGCCTGTGGTCCCAACTCCTTAGCTTGGCCATGGAGGCCCTGCACAGCCCTGGAAGGTGGGGGCTTGGTGTTTGTCCCTTATCAGGCACAGTACTTGGCTGACCAGGCCTGGCATAGAGCCTGCTGGTTGGCCGGCCAGGGGAGTAGATAGATGGATGGCTCAATCAATCAGTCTCTAGACTCCCTAAGGAATTAGGTGGCCTGGTCTTTCCTAGAAGGAAGGGAATTCGGTTTGCCTCCCAAGTCTTCTCTTGGCACTTCTGAAGTGACAATGACAGTATTTTACAGCCTCTAGACCAATATTTTGAACAAAGGTCTGTGAGAAGAACCTCATAAAAGGCTCCACAGCCTGGTGTCCTCCGTATGGCAAAAGGTGGCTATGTCACCTCCCCTCACTGAGCCTCAATTTCTGCATCTGTAAAATGAGGCCATTGGACTAGATAATCCTCAAGTTTCCTTCTAGCTCTAGCATTGCCTTCAGATGTCCTGGTGCCTAGAGTAGTAATTGGACAGGGCCATGGTGACCCCAGTATCTGGGTCAATCCACATCTGGAGCATGGAGGAATCGTGGTGATGGCTGCAGCCCCTGGAAGATGAACTTGGCAGGAACTAGCTGAGTGATTTTTCTGCTGACTGTGAAATGTCCTGGCAGTCTATGCAGGTAGGCTGATGCAGGTGAGGGGTGGGGTTGGGCTCTCCCTCTCTTGTGATTCCTGAGTAATGTTTCCTTGCAGAATCACAAGCCTCCGGCACTGGTGGGTGCCAGCTAGATTCAGCCACTTATATTGGCAAAGTAGGTGAACCCTCTTTCCACGCTGTCCTGGCATGGCTTCCAGAAAGGCTTTCTGCTTCCACCCCTTAAATGCCTCACTGTGTCTCATTGTCACCACACCTGGAATCATACCTTCCCATAGCTTTCCAGTTCCCTGTACAGGTGGCCTGTTCTCGGAGAAGGTTGTGGCCCTGAAGCCTTAGTTAGCCAGGAATAGCTTAGCTCAGAGTCAGAGCCACGAGAAGGCTTGTCCAAAACTGGGGCTCTAGCTATTGAAAGAAAAATAATAATCCATTTTCAGCCTCACCTGAGAGCACACACCCAAATTCAAAACTATTTTAAAAGATCAGAAAGGAGATAAAAGCCCATTAAAAACCAGGGAGAAAAGGAATTGGATGTTTAACAAGTGTCTGAATGGAGGAGCCCCACTAAGCTAAAAAGCAATGACAAAAATGACATAAGGAAGTGGAAGACCAACCAGTTTGACTACATCAAAACTAAGTATTTCCAAAGTCAAATTTAATATCACAAACAGAACCAGAAAGCAGAGATTTGCGGATCCATAACGTATAAAAAGAACACATGCAAGGGGGCTGGCCCCGTGGCCGAGTGGTAAAGTTCGCGCGCTCCGCTGCAGGCGGCCCAGTGTTTCGTTGGTTCGAATCCTGGGCACGGACATGGCACTGCTCATCAAACCACGCTGAGGCAGCGTCCCACATACCACAACTAGAGGAACCCACAACAAAGAATATACAACTATGTACCGGGGGCTTTGGGGAGAAAAAGGAAAAAATAAAATCTTTAAAAAAAATAAAATAAAAAAAAAAAAAGAACACATGCAAAACTTCAGCAGTCAAAAGGCAACAGATAAATATGGAATTCGCTTAAACAGTTTACAGAAGAGGAAATAGAATTGACTAAAAATATTTTTTTGAAAAAGTATTCAATTTCACTAATAACCAAAGCTTAATAAAAAACAATAAAGAAATACAAGTTTTCAGCAACAAATTAGAAAAAAAAGTTGAAGAATACCCAATGCTGATGAGAAAATTGTGGAACAGGCACTGTTATTCAGTGCTGAGGGAAATGTGAATTGGTGTAAACTTTTTGGAAAATACGGTAATATGGTAGTCGAAGAGGAGAGAGATGAAAGTTTCAAGAAAAGGCAAATGGGCTACTTATACAACATTTATTGAGTGTCTACTTTGTGTCAGGCACAGTGCTAGGTGCTAAAATATGAAAATAGGTAAGATGTGTCATCTGCTCTTGGGCATACAGTCAAAGAGGCAAGAAAGACACACAGACAAATACTAAAATGATATGTAGTAGGAAGAAGGTCAGAGATACGCTTGGGTCATGGGCAAAGCATGGAGCAGCTGTGGGGGGTGTCCAAGTTTGAAGCTTTATGGGAGTATCCGGGGAGGTTCCTAGAAGAGGGACCTGGATGAGTAGGAGTTAGTCAGGTAGAGGGCAGAGACAGAAGTGAGAAGTATCGTGAATGAACTCGTAGACAGTTCTGGGTTGCCAAAGCGTGAAGAGGCAGGAGATGGAGAGGGTGCGACCAGATCACACAATGCCACGTCTGTCTAATTGAAGAGTTAGGTCTTTTTCCCCTTGACACCAGGGAACCACTGAAGCATTTTGAGCAGGCAGGTGCCGTGGTAAGATTTCTGTTCTAGGATGATTACTCTGGTTACTTAGAGACATTTGAAGGTTCGAAGGCCAATGAGGAGGTAATGCCTTGGTCAAGGTAGAGAGGGCAAGCCCTGAATCTGGGAGGGGGCCAAGAGGATGGAGAGAAGTGGCCAGATACAGGAGGTAAAATTAGGAGAAGCTGTTGACTGACTGATGGCTGGGGTTAAAGAAAGAGGGTCAAGGATACCTTCTCTGTTTCTCTCAGGTGACTGAGGGAATGGGAGAATACCCAGAGAAAGAGCAGGCTTGTGGGGCTGAAGGAGGATTATTGAGCTCAATTTTGGGCACATTAAGTGAAAGGTGGGCATCCAGATAGAGGTGGCTTGAAAGGAGCTAGGTAAAGGGTTTGGATCCAGCAGCAGATTAGAGCAAAAGATTTGGGTTGTGACTGGTGGCTGTTGTAGCCATGGGCTTCCATGAGCTGGCCCTGGGAGAATGTGGCAGCTGAGAAGAGAAAGGGGGTCCAGACAGAGAACCTCTCTCCCTTTTAAGGAGTGGACAGAGAGAAAGGGGAGTCCACAAAGGCAAAAAAAGAAATCGGAAAGAGTTGGAAAAAGCACTGGAGTCTGTGTTAGCATGGAAACCCAGGGTATGGACTGTTTCCAGGAGAGAGTAATCAGCAGACAAAAGAGAATGGCCAGTTAGATAAAGACTGAGAGCTCCCTGGGTGGAGCAATTAGGGGGCCCCTAGATTCTCACAGGAGCAGCTTCCTGGGAGAGATGGGGCAGAAGCCCCCACTAGGTGGGCAGAGGAAAAGGAGAGAAGGAGAAGTCGGCAGCATGGGCACCTGTCCTGGGAGTTTGGAACACTGGGGAGAGGCTGCTGGAGTACCGATCTGAGTCAGGGAGAACTTCTGAGCCGTGTTGAGAGGAAGTAAGGATAGACGTGACAGAAGAGGGGTTGAAAGGGCTGCCACCTAAAGTCCTCCTGGCTGTATAAATCAGAGACAAGATCAAAGGACAAGGGTGGCGAGGAGGAAAAATGTCCATTGGTGACCTTGACTTGAGCTGTTGTCAAGTAGGAAAGTATATATGCCAGTTTGGAGCTCACAGAGGAAGTGTGTGCATCTCCCAAGGCGCATAGATGGAGAACCAGGGATAAGCTTAAAGGAGAAGGTGCAGAGTTCCCAGAGCAGGACCGGACACTGAACCATGACGGACGTTTTAGGGATGGGTTCAGGAAGAGGATCCTGCTGAAGAGACTGAGCAGGAGGGGCTGGAAGAGAAGACCAAAAAAGTGGGGGTCCTAGAAGGCCAGGGAGGGGAGAGGTTCTACAGGTCAGGGTGGCCACTGGTGGGCCAGGTGCACAGAGACCAGGGGGTTGAGGGCATCCCCTGGACCGGCCTTTGGGGACCTTTGCCACAGCAACTGTGGGGAAGGGGCAGAAGCCCACCATGGTGGGGGATGATCTGGAGTCTGGCTGAGAAAGCAGGAGGGGAGGGGGCAGCTGGGGGGACAGCAGGGTCCAGGAAGGAGCTGAGTCTCACTCGCCGACGTTTGGAGGGAGGAGGCTGCGCGAGCCCGAGAGTGGGGAGCAGGGGCAGGTAGTGAGCGGGCCGAGAACGGGGGGATTAAGTGTAGAGGTGCGGGGATTAGTTGTGTTGGTGGAAAAGAACAAAATTAAATCACATGCATTTTTCCGGGTAACCTGATCTCCATGTTCTTCTGGAGGCTTTTTCTCTGCCCTCTGGGTACTGACTACAGCTCTAATTAGCAGTGGTTTCATCCTGCCTCATGTCTGGGGCCATGTCTTCCTAGTTTTTTGTACCTTTTGGCACCTAGCAACAGGCAGCGAGCTAGGTAGAGGCAGAATAATTATTCCCTGCTTGAAATCAAATGTCTGAAATGGAGGTTCAGAATTTTTTTTACCACAAAGATTTTGTGACAGTTCCCAGGGAATCGAGGAACAAGGAAATAAAAGTCAAAGCTGAGGCTGCCTGGATCTCAGGAAATGCACTCTGTGCTCCAGTGTGGGTGCAGCTCTCTATAGTTTACATGATGTGGTCATGACCATTGTCTCATCTGGTCATTGCAACCCCATCGCAACCACTAAAAGCCACCATTAGTCCCATTTCACAGGTTAGGAAACTGAGACCCAGAGAGGTAGGATGGAGGGAGAGAATGATGGGCAATGAAGTGGGTGGGGACTGGGGCACAGTCTTGAATGCTACGTGTCAGGGTCTTCACCACCACTACCTGGGAGTGTCTTCTAGACATTGAATTATTCTGTTTCTTCCATATTTGGACAGAGGGCAAAGTCAAGAGAGAGCCTTGGTCTAATTGGCTGAGCTTGGGCCTCATGCCACCCCCGATAGGACCTGAGAAGCAGGACCAGGAGGAGGGTCCCACCATGGCTACATAAAACAGAGAACAGGAAGTTTCCCTACATGTAACAAGGGGCGTTAGGGAGGAATAAGGATAAGGATGCTAGAAAGCCCAAACGCCAAACACATCCATTATAAGAAATAACCAGCCCAGAGGCTAGGAGATCTGTGGGGAGGCCATAGTTCAGATAAGAGAGGGAGAGACCTGAACTAGCCCAGTGGAGATGGAGAGAAATAGATCAGAAACTTGTAGTAGGTAAAACCCAGAAATAATTGGTGAATGATTAGCTGTTAGGGTGAGAGAGAGGGTAAAGACAAGGGTGGCTCCCATGTGTCTTGAGTGGGGCCCTGGGTAGATGGAGGAGAGGCCCCTGGGATGGGGAACTCAGCATGGGGAGCAAGTTTGAGAGGCAGGACAGCGGACTCAGATATGGCCAAGGCGTCAGAGTCACAGCCAGGTGGAGCCCAGCAGCCACTTGGATTCAGGGTCAGGCTCAGGGAGAGATTCGACTGGAAGTACTGACCCAGGGCCATGGACACTCAGAGAGTAATGGAAACCCTGAGAATGAATGAGATCACAGAGAGAGAATGGGACAGGGTGTAGGGCAGAATCATGAGTTATAGTGACATTTGAGGAGCCAATCAAGGTGTGGGCAGGTGACAAGAGAAAAAGAAGGAAGGGCCTGAGAGATGGGACAAACAACTAGGAGAGTGGGTTGCCATGGCAACCAAGGTAGTGAAGAGTTTCAAGGAGAAAGTAATCAACACTGTCAAATGCAGCAGAGAATTCCAATAAGATAAAGACAGAATTTTTTCTTTGGATTTGATGATTAGTAAGCTTTTGGTGACCTTAATAAGAGCAGTTTGGGGAGTGATGGGGCATGAGCTGGAATAATGTCAAGATGTGAGGGGGAGGCGAATCTGTCACTAAGAGTCCTCTGAGGAGTCTGGAAGGAAGACTTTGAGATGCGAAGGATAGGGGTGGGGAGGCTGAGCATAGGAAAGTCATGAGCAATTTTACAGGCAGACGTCAACTCCAAAATGTGATAAGCATTCATTGCATGTTTTCTAATTTAGCCCATTATGTGCCTGGCAGTGTGCCTAGCACTATGGATACTTGGTGAATGAATTAAAACAAGCAGAATCTCTCTTCTCTTGGAACTTGTTTGATAGTAGCAGAGAAAGACATTAATCAGATAATCACACATAAGTGTACAATTTCCAACTCCGACAGCACTCTGAAGGAAAGGTACTGAGAGCTGGAAGTGTACGACAAGGGGGCCTGCCCTGTGCTGACTCCAAGAGGCTTCCCTGAGGAGGTGACACTTGAACCAAGTTGTAAGGAAGGAGAGGACTTAACTGGACAGAGTGAATTGGGGAAAAGCATTCTGGGCAGAGGGAACAGCCTGTGCAAAAAAAGGTGAGGTGAGACCAGGAAGGCAGGCAGTGCTGGCTGTGCAGAGCTTTAGAGGCCAGGGCTGAGCTCCTGCATCCATCCTGAGAACAAGGGAGGCAGGGCGGGCGCTGCCCTAGTGGGTCACTCTCATCTGAGACCGGCTGCTCTGAGGAGAAACCATTAGAGGAAACATTTGCAGACTTAGGGAGACCAGTCAGGTAGTTTTTGCTGTCATGGTGGACAGGCTTTGGCTACGATCAACATATTCTGGTTAGTCTTGGTGCTGGATGGAATGAAGAAGGGCAAGGAGAGAAGGAGGTCTTCAGGATGACACCTGAGTTTCTGGCTTGCCTTACTGGTGAGGTGGCAGTGCCATTGTCAGAAGTGGGGAGCCCTAGAAAGGGACTGGGTCTGTGAGGCAGACCTTAAGTCTCGTGGTTGACAGCTGAGACATCCAAATGAAGAAGGGGAGGAAGTGGCTGCAGGCATAGATTGGAGCACAGAGGAGAAAGTACAGAGATTGGTTCAGAGCTCCCGAGGGATCCTGAGTGGAAATGTGAATTAAAGTGGTGTCAGGTTTCTGGAGCATTCTAAGGCTATGAGGACAGCTGAGGAAGAAGCCGGAAACCAAGCCCAGGAAGCACCAACATTTGGGGACTGTAAAGAAAAGAAGAACCGTTCTAGGGTACTGAAAAGAAAGGCCAGCGCGTTCTCTCAGCAGAAAGATGGCGTGGTCAGCGGTGGACATGTGCAGAGAGGTCCCTGGGACAAGGGCTGAAACGTGAGGCCCTCCAATGTGCAACCATGACACCAATCACCCCAGAATTGGGCAGCATGGTGGCCCTGCTGATTGGCACCCCCCAGGGCCCATGGGGAACTCTGGGGGCCTTTACCAGAGACAGCGTGGGTTGGGGTCGATTAAGGAGAGAAAGGAGGAGGGAGCAAAGTCTAGGGCTTTTCATTTTACTCTTAAAGGAAAGAGCAATGCTGGTCTATGAATATTCTGAGGGAAGGGAGCCTGGGTGATGGAGCGATTAAAGATGGAGACAATTAGTGAAATGAGTTCCCAAAGGGGCTGGGATCAAGTGTGGAGGTGGATAAATTAGTTCGAGGCAATAATGTAAAGTTGACTGAATGGGGCAAAATTAAATTATTTACCTTTCAGAGAGTAACTTGATCTCCATGTTCTTTTGGGGGCTTTTCTCTGACCTCTGCGCTGACTGCAGCTCTAATTAGCATCGGTTTTATCCTGTCTCATGGCTGGGATCATGTCTTAGTATTTTTTGTGTTTCTTAGCACCCAGCAACAGGCAGTAAGCTCTTTGGGTGCCGAATCAGTGTTTTCTGCCTTGGAATCAAATATCTGAAGTGAACATTCAAACTTTTTGATCAAAAAGCATCTGTGACAAGTCTCTTCTTACAGTGCAAAAAAGAAGAACTGCGGCATTAATGGGTAGCAGGTGTTTTGCTGGGTGGGTAGGGAAAAGAGGAGTCTGCTCCCCTCCTCGTCAGCTCTGTGCCATTTATCCAAGTCCACGTTCATCATCTCATGCGGACACCCCAACAAGAGAGAGCATTACCCCATTTCATAGAGGAGGGGAAGAAGCTGGAGATGAAAGTGCCTCACTGACACCGAGCACAGGTGGCAGAGGCTGGGTTCAGACGTCAGCCCATCCAGTGTCACAGTCCTTCTTCCCAGGACCAGGTTGAGCTGGGGAGAAAGAGGAAGAGGGACCTGTGAGGTCCAGGTGGAGATCTCACAGGCACTCACAGAAGGTTAAAGGTGTGGTCCAGTTGGAGACCTACCGGATATTAAAGCACCAGATATTAAAGCATTGTATCAAACTGCAGTGACGAAATCTGCAGTGCTGGCTCTAGGGGCAGCGCTCTTGTTTAAGAAGCCCCCCACCATGTGAATGATATATACGTTCTCTATTTGCATCTAAAACTTCTACCTATTTTTTTAAATGTTTAAGTCTTTAACCCTTCTGAAATATATTTTCCTGTATGGTGTGACAGAGATCTAATCTCATCTTTTTCCAAATGGGTAACCAGTTTGCTAAGCACCATTTATTGTCCCAACACCATTCTTTTCTCCCAGTTCCTTATGTCTAGACTATTCAGATCTGTTGATCTGTTGTCTGTTTCTGGGCCAATACCAGATTTTAATGAGCAAACCTTTATCTTACTCCCTGGTAAAGTAAGAACCCCTCCCTTCCTGGCCCTTTATTCTTTGTTAAAATTACCTTGGTTGTATTGCACGTTTACTTTTTCACATGCATTTTAGAATCAGCCTGTCAAATTTCCATTTAAAAAAATCCTGTTGGAACTTTGAGTGGGATTCATTGGAGGGAGAAATAACATCTTTAGGATATCAGTTCTTCCCGTCTGTGAATATGGCATCTGTCTCTGTTTAATCAGAGTCTTATTTGTTTGGTTTGGTTTTTAATGCCTTTAATAAAGATCGCTTGCTTTTGTCATAAAGGTTTTTCATGTTTCTTAATAGCTTTATTCCTGAGTACTTTATCAGTTTTGTTGCTTTTGTGAGTGGAAAAAGTTTTCCTTTTGTTCTTTTGGCTTCCA